CAAAGCAAAGTTTTTTAGTTAAATAGTATCAAAATAAGATTCTTCAACAGAGGAGGAAATACAATAGATCCAAATATGTCAATCATCAAAATTTAAGCTTATTATGCTTTTTGATGTTATCATTCCATATTAGAAGTGAATTATAAATATTTCTTTAATCAATATTTTGTCTTTAATTGTTATTAAGGTTTGTTATATAATTATTTTTTGAAATTTTGAGAGAGAGAACGATAATTATATTTATATTTGATTACGTGCTAAACTCATATATATAAATTCTCATATTAATTTAATTTATATTTATTATTTTGTTTTCGTTATCTTCCATTATAAGTATCTAATTATCATTAACACAAGAAGAAAAGTATTTCATTTATTATTGATAAATCAGTTCGATTAGATTCCTTTTTACAAAGAGAATATTTTGCAACAATAATTGCTTTTGGATTAAATCAAGTATTTTTATCGAGAAATTCTTCAAAATTGCAGGGACCTAAAATTCTTTAATTTTCCTAATAAAATAAACAATTATCGTCCAGTAATCCTCTTATTATAATTGATATTTAATCACCGCAATATTATTATTCTTTAGCTAAATCATAAATCAATTTTTTTCATAATTGATAATCAAAATTAATATAGTAATGTTGTTTAATCATAATTTGTGAAATATGTCATTGAGACCAAACTCATTTTTCTAGCTTTAATTCAATATTCAGAAGAGAAATTGAGCAATCTTTAACTTTTTGTAATTATAATGTCTATTAATTTAATAATTAATTTATTTCATTAAAGAAATTCTAAAGCAAAGAATATTAACAAGAAATCGTATTTTAAAAAGAGAATCTGATTTGTCAAAAGCTTAGCAACAATAAATGTATTGCTATCAATCTCTACCTGTAATTTATCACTTATACTGCTCGAATTATATTAAAATTGTTTCCATTAAAAAATTATCATGTTCATAGATTCTTAAGAAAATCAATCTTTATAAATATTTAACTAAATTTATTTGTATAAAATGAGATTATAAAAATTTCTATTTATTATAACTAAATAGTTAAATGCATTCATCTCTCAAGTGATATCTTATACTCATAAATATGTTTTCTTCCGAAATACATTTGTCAAAAATTTAAATTATACATGCCCCAGTTTCTTCATGTAAGGGAATCCAATCATATAAATTAAAAATAAGGAAACTGAATAATATTATTATAAAGAAGGTAAACATTAGAGAAGTAAGTTTTGGTTTAAATAATATAAAATTTGAATAGAAAGATGTTTAACAACAAAGCAATTATTCTATAAAAAGATTTGCAAGCTTATAAAATATTTTAATCATAAAAAATAAAATTTATTTCTTTCATTCAATGCCAACATGAGATAATTCAAAATTACTAGAAATTCAAAAAATTTCTATCAAAAAATGTTTTTAAGCTAATAGAATAGGAATTATTGGAAGTTTGGTAATGATTTGGAAAATATAAATTTTATTAAATCTACATGTAATTAGATTTTGTAAATTTTATTTATGAGATAATCATTCTCAAAAGAAAAAAAGTTAAAATATGATAAATTGATTTGATTATCTTAAAAGAATGATAAAAGGCTCGAAGGAATATTTAATTATAGTTTATTAATAGGAATAAAGATTCAAATTTAAAAATAAATCTGTTTCTGCTAATTTCTGCTTAATGAAGGATCAATCATTATTAAAAAGAGAGAATGTGTTAGAAAAAAGATATTGCATACAAATGTTACAATTTTTTGAACTTTATAGTATTTAGGGGTTAAAATAATTATGTTATAGAATATGATAAAGGTTTTTAGATATCTTAGTAATTTTTGGACTTAATGAATTAAGAAGTATTGATATGAGATAAAAGTTTAATTTAACATAAATTATTTAAATTATTCAAATATAAAATGATTATATATGTTTGAATAAATGAACAATCATTATTATTAATTTTATGCAAATTCTATCGAAGAATTAGGAAGTATCTCAAAAAGGTGAAATTAACTTTAAAACTAATTCATAAAAAGAAATTTTAATTAATCTTAATTAAAATAATTAAATCCATTATACTTTTGATCAATATTAAAGTACATATATCAGAAGAATGTCCATCCAATTTGTGTTAGCAAGTCCATTAATTATTTTGATTCATCTACCATATTATTATTAACTTATCATTACTTCCAGATAAAAAGTGATTCGTTTTTTTTCATAAAGTTTAAAGTCTACACATGTAATTAATGTTCACTTAAGAGTTATAATTGATTTAATTTCGATTCTTTGAGTTCAAATACTTTAATTTACTTATCACAATCTGCTACAACAATTGAGTTATCTTTATTAATAGCAATTGCAAAGCAAACGTTTTCTTACTTAATAGAGTTTTATTTAATAGTTCTGATTTACAAAATTTCTTTAACTATCTATTTAAATTCTTCAATAGATTATTGGAATTAGTTCTCTGATAATTCAATTAAACATAAACCTTTAATTATATTGTCAATTTATGAAAGTCCTTATTTAGGAAACTATGCCAAATTAATATTGTATAAAATTACAATAGGGTCTTTAATATTGACAATCAATATCGATGCAAACTCCAATTATTTTTTAATTTAATTGATCAGCTTAAGTACTTCTAATTTGCATTTTCTATTTCTATAAAAAATAAATTTGAATAAATAAGTAATCATTTGTGTGTTTATTAAAATTCAAAATTAAAATTTAATATTATAAATTAATAAACAAAAAAAACAACAGTTTTCATAATAAATGAATGAATGGTCTAATTATTACACAATAACAAATTAGATTTAATGATTAGTAGTTAAATAATTAATATTGTTATATTATAATATTCAAGAATTAAACATGAAATTTATTTAGTCTCCTAAAAAAAGCCTCGGATTCATTAATATTATTTTGATTTTTTTTTAATAGAATAGAAATATTTGAAAAATAAAAATATCATTTTATTTTTGAATGATAAAAAAAAAACATATTTTTGTTAATTTAATTTAATTTTAATAATATTCATTTATTCACTTTTATCTGGAATTCCATGTTTTTCAATTTCCCTTAAAAACTTTTCATTTAAAATTTTAATTTGTGAACATAATTAAAAAATAATAATGTACTTACCTTAATTTGATCATTAAAATTTGAATGATAGCACCATTATATACCCAAAAAAATTACCAAGTTCCTGATTAATACTCTTCGCCCATTTAAGTATCCAGTCATTAATAACTTTAACCTGACTTTAAGATATTTGGGCAAAACTTTATTCTAGAGTGGTGTATTAATATAACTTTAACTTACTTAACTTGCTACTCTATTCATATTCAAATCAACTTCTTATTATTATTATTATGGCATCTATTAACCCTTAGTTTAAATAATTAATTTTATTTACATTCTACTTTATTTTATATTGCAATCCTAGCTGTTTTTAAGAAATTCTTGACTAATTAAATTTCAGAATCATATATTGGTTCCTTCTTAAAGAGGTGGTTTGAATTCGATCTCATATTAATTTCAAAAGATAAATTTTTCATTAAATCAAAAATAATTTAAATAACATGATTATAATCTTCTTGATAAAACTTTAGAAACTCACATATTCAAAACTATGTGAAAATAACGAGTTAACTTCTTTAAAATTATCTTAACATCAACTGTAATTTTGATTAAATATATTAATCTAAAATATTATTCGATATCAACAGATATCATTATGTTAAGATTAAATTTGATGAGTATATTGAAGGTATCAATACTAAATAAATGAATAAGAATTTTTGATTACTTCTATCGATTATTCATATTAATTTATTCAAATATCCTTACTGTTTTTTATTCCATTTACATAAAATAATGTAAATTTACAGTGAAATTAACCTCCATTTGAGTTATAATTTAATCTCTGTGAAAAGATTTTTTGTTATAATTACTATCTAGGATCAGATAAATTGAAAAACAAGTAATATGCAAATTTTATTGATCCTATTTGAATAATCGATAGAAGTAATTAAAATTTTTATTTATTTATGCTATGCATTTGTAAATTTAACTTCTCTTCTACTAAGTCTTTTCAAAAAAATTTTGAAGGCCCTTTTAAAATAGATATTGTTTGAATGATGAAATAAAATTCCAAAATTATTTTATAAATTATAAAACAGAAAATAAGTCTCCAAATTTCAATAGATCTTCGTTATTTATCATGAATTGTTTTGGTTTTCTAATTTAATACATCTAAAATTATATTGTTCTATTATTTATCAAGTTAATGTTCTTTTAGTTTGAAGCTTTTCATTAATATGATCATTATTATTTATCAACTATAAGATTTTCAGAACTAATTGAAAAATGATAAAAGTACATCTTGACTTATTATTTTCTTATTCATCAAATAAGATTTATTATTATATGCCATTTAATAAGTATAATTAAAATAGCATTTGAAAGGCGAAGGTTCAAAACAACAAAAATGAATTAAAATAAGAAATAAATCAGAAAAAAACTCAAAGTTAATATATAAATGAAAATGCAATGGTCTCAAATTGAAGCCTTTTTATTAAGAAAAAAATAATTCTATGGATTTTGATAAATTAACAAAATCTAATCAAGTTAAAAATACATTCAAAAAACTGATAAAATTTTTCGCATTTTATCACTATTAAAAAAAAGAGTGTATGGAAGAATAAATAAAAATATAAAATCATAAAGAGAACATCTTTTTTAAAAATGATCCTGCTTTTTTACAAAAAATACATTAGTAAATTTATATTTTGCCAAAAAGATTTGAGTGTATAGAAAATTTGATTAGAAATATAAAAGTTTTATAAACATATAATTGTATAGGTTTTAATGGTCTTTTTCAATAAAGCCAACATTAAAGAATAAAATTAATTTTCTAGAAGGATTTGATTATAAAACGAAATATCATATTAATTATTTATTAATTAATTAAAATAATGAATATGATAGAATAAGAATAATAATTGACTTGTGCATATTGTCATCATCAACGAATTATCACTGTTGCACTAGATTCAGATATACCTCAATCTTAAAGACTCTATTGTGAGAAATGTTTAGATACAGCAGAAGGATATAAAAAAGTAGTAAACCTGATTGAAGAAAAATTAAAAAAGAAAGCAGAATATGTTGAAAAGCTAATTTATTTTAATTACTCAAAAATTGAATAGCTAATTGATACTATTTAAAGTTTAAAATCAAGCTTGACTCAATCTTTAAATCAAATTGAAGGTATTCTGAATAAATGGATGATGGATTTAAGATAGGCGGAATAGTAATTAATTAATTAGAGTTTTTATGAGGAATTGGATTCTTACATACAAAAAGAAAATAAAGTAGATTTCAATTATAAGAAATATAATTCTTAGATTGATAAAATTAATTAGAATTAGTTTTAAAAAGTTTATCCATTAATCGAAAGATTTATAAGCTTTGAAGAATTTAATAAATGTTTAAATTAACTTTCTAATTTAGTTTAAGATCTATTATATAGGAACAGGGTTTTAATAAAAGAATAATCTTTAATATAATAGGCTTAGTAACAATAACAACCATAATAAGAATAACTATAATAGGAATAATCTTAATAGTAACAATAATAATAATAAATTTAATAATAATAATCTTAGTAATACTAATAATAAGAAATAAATATAACACAATAACCAAAATAGGTTGGGGAAGTGAAACTGACTTTAAAAGATAAATCTATTTAGTAAGAAAAACGTTGCTAAGCAATAGCTTTTGATTCTTCTGGATCCATTATGGTAACTACAGAATCAAGAGAAATCAAAGTATGGAATTTTAAAAATGGTAAAATTCAATTAGTAAATTCTTTACAGGGGCATACTAGTTATGTTAATTGTTTGGTCTACAGTAAGACATAGAATTCTTTTCTTTCATGTTCTGATGATAAAACAATCAGATGTTGGAAATAAATGAATTTACGAAATTGGATGAGTTCATAACCATATTATTAACACACTCATTATATTTAGTGCATGATTATCAATAAGAATGAAGATTTACTATTTTCTGGTAGTTTTGATAGGTCAATTAAAGTTTGGAAGGTTGATTTTAATGAGAATTTTTTGACTTATTAATATTCATTGGATAAGCACAATCATTTTGTGAATGGATTAAGTTTGAACCCATCAGAAAATGTATTAGCGTCATGCGCAAAAGATAATAATTCAATTATTATTTGGGAAAGAAATATAAATAATATATTTGAATTTAAATACATTGTTACACAATCAATATAAGACACAGGGAATAAACTTATGTTTATAACAGATGATGAATTTATTTGGGCAACCAGTTCCAGATCTTAAGATAACATTTATACCTTTTAATTAAAATAAGGAATATTTTAAGAAAACTAAGAAAAGACAATCCAACTAACTAAAAATAATATGATTTAAGATGAATTTCGATTTCCATTTTTATACAATAGAGAAAGGAATTTAATAGTTGTAAGGGTAAAAACTATTATATATATTCTTTAATAACTTAATGATGGCTCATACAAAATAGCTTCTCAATTAAACTGTAACACCTATGAAATTTATGGTCAAATCACAAATAATGGACAGTATTTAGTATATTGGGATGACCATATTAAAGGATATAGCATCTATGAATTATATATAAAATGAAAAATGAAAAAGCATTAGTATTTATTATTAAGTTTATTTATTTAACATTCTTAATTTAGAAAATAAATATTTTTTAAATTAAAATACTAACAAAATGATGTTATAACTGAGAATTTTGAAAATAGTGGATGACTAGTTTCAAGTAATAAATAGTTTTATTTATTAATTTTTTATTAAACAATCTAAATATATGAACGAATAGAAAATAGTTTGTTAACTATATTTTCTATTTTTTTAAATTTTACTTTTTATAGGCTTTTTATTAAAACCTGTTTTAAAAAATAATAGTTCAAATTTGAATTTTATAGAATTCATCACAAAGGATTGATTCTCCAAACTTCAATCATAAAATTGCTTGTCATTGCGTAACTATTAATTAACATAATAAAAATGAATAAGATTGACAGAAAGTTTTTCAAACTCATCAAGATTATAAAAAAGATTTATATTGAAATAAACGGTTAATTTATTGATGAAAGCATTCTTTAATAGATATTTGATTCAAAAATAACTTAATAAAATAGTATTGAAATCTTTATATATCGATTTATCAAACTTTACTATCAATAGTTTTACTTCACATATATCTTATTAAATTTATTACCAAATATATCATTCTAAAAATCCTTGATTATTAAAATAAAGCTGTATTTCCGGTAGAAAATAAGGTAAAGTAATAATATTTTTATTAAATCAATATTAAAAAGATACAAATAAATGCTTTGCTATTGGAGTAAACAAATTGTCCTAAATTAAAAAAATCACGAAAATGAGATAAAATTGTGTCTTAGATTTTATTCTAGTTATTCACCCAGCCAATTAAAAATATTTAAATCCAATTAAAGTATCATGTTCTCAATCTAAAAATATTATTGCAATTTAGAATCATATAATAATACCATTTATCATGAATTAATATCTTTATTGTTAATAATTGTGTAAGGTAAGGAGTGATAAAATTAAAGAAAAAGGAGGATATATTATTTAAATTTTCATTTTTTGAATATCATATTCAATTTATTAAATCCTGATCTCAATTGAGTAATCCAAATTAAAATTTGGATTTTGCTGTCTGCTGAAGCCATCTTGATTTTTCATTCTATTTCACCTGACTTTAGATTCAAGAACTTATGAATTAAACTTCTGCTTTATCTAAAAAAATCTCATTTTCCATTTATGAGTCGTTATATTTCATAGAGATTATAATGATATGGCAACAATAACTTTTATTATGAACAATTGTAACTGAAAATTAAATCTATTTATTTTATTTTTTTTACGATAAAACCTTTTTGTTAAAGTTATACTGCTTTATCAATAATATTCAATAGGCTTTTTTATAATATTGACGACTAACTCAGGAATAAATACATTTCTAAGACAAAAATAAATTTATTTATAAATTTTTTTTTTATATTATAATAAATAAATTTATTATAAAGTTAACAAATTTAAAGAATAGAAATTTATTTTTGATGGATTATTAAATTAGGGCCATTTTAAATTGAATATTTTATTCTTACTTAGATATATACTCAATTTAACTGTCTTTAAACGTTTTAAATGTTTATCTCCTTAATGATTAATTCAGATAAATTTTTAACTAAATTCATAAAAAATAAATAATTTTTAAGAGTTAAAAAAATTAATAAAAAAGTACATATATTATTTCGAATATAGGAATCATCTGGGTTTTATTTTAAACGACTTTCAGGGTTTTAGATCATTTCTGAAGGCTTGAATTAATTCTTGTTTTATCTATTCTTTCGGAGTTAATAACCAACAAATTTGCAATTATTAAAGTTTTAAAATTAACAAAGAATTATGGACGTTATTATTTACTCATCTAGGGTTGGGAGGTAGATTATGCAGAGCATCTGTTTTTTTCTTGATTTTTCATGCAAGCTTCCAAGGCTGTAAGGCTAATTCAAATGGGCTTATTAAAAAATCTTTTATTATAATAAACTCATTGATTATGCAGCATACATAATATGATAACATTATAAAAATATGTCTACCAGGGTTTCACTTCTATCATTTCCTCTGATACTCTTATTCCTTTTTTACCTATCTACTATAGAATTTCTGAAAATTCCTCCTTTTTTTTTTAGTTTAATTATAAATTTAAACCTCTTATTAAACCAGGTTAGGTTTATTTTTTTCAAAATTCCCACCTAAAGTATATAAATGCAAATCCTTAGTTTTTGCGTTTAATGTGGTATCATTATTACCTCTCTGGTTTCGAAGAAATTTTGTAAATAACACAATTCCTTCAACACAATAATTTTCAAATTTTATTTATCTATATTCAAAAGCCAACTCTTTGTTATTAGTCTAATCTTACCTCAATGACTAATTTAATTAAGCAATTATATTTCTTTTAATCTTTATCACTCGAATTATATCATTTATACTGAAGTTTATTCTTGAAGGTTCCTTATATATTCTCATTCTAGTCTTCCAACAATTATTCATTTACAATAGATATCAATTTCTAAAATTCTATTTTTTTTCCATTGGTATTATCTTAATCTCTTACCTATTACATCTTTTAAAATTTTTGATCTGATAGCTTACCCATTAATTTGCTTAGAGCAAGATTTTTTTAAGAAGTTCATTATTAGAATTTCTAGTATTAATCATCTTTATAATTTTTTTGGGTCTATTTACTACTTTGTATCTCTTGTTCAATTTAACTTCCTTTGAAACTCACCCATTTTTGTTTCCTTAATGACTCTAAATGCAAAAACTTATATAATCTAAAACCTCAATTAATTATTTGAATTTAATTTTCTTTAGAAAATACTTTAAAATAATTAAATATTCTTATTTTTCTTAATGTAGTAAGATTTTTATTTATGATTTTAATTGCCTCTAAAAGCTATTACGATTATTTACGTTGGATAATGGTATTTGCAAAAATTATATATTTGCGATCTATTTATTGATTATGATTGAACCAATATTTTGTAATTCAATCGACAAAATAAAATTTTGATTTTAATCTCAATCACCTAATTGAAATTTTAGTAAAATTTAAAAAAGATATTCTTATATTAAACAAATTAGAAGAAGATATTACACTTCGTCAATTATTTGAATCCAAATAATTATCATTTTATTTAATTTTAAAGTTAAATTAATTAAGATGCTATTTAGTGAAATTTTATATCTAATTTTATATTTATTTTAGTCAATATTTCAACGAAAATTTTGAATAATTTTTTTTATTAAGCTTAAGCTGATCGGAAAATGACTTGATATAATGTACTATAGTTAATTCTAAATTTTCATAACATATATTTTAAATTATTCAAATTTGGTGGCATTTTCTAATTTTTATCTCTTTTGATTTCCCATCCCAAGTGATTAGATATTCACCATCATCACTTAATGAACCAAAAATTTAATTATGACCAATTAGAATATTTTACTTATTTATAAAATCTCCATTTTCTTTCTTCTATATTAAGTTGATATTTTAACCATTCTTACTCACTATAAGGCATTTAGATTTTAAGTATTGTTAGGGAAATAGATTAGCACAATTCTTTGAAGCAGATTTCACAGAAATTTACTTAGTCTTAATAAATTATTGATTGCTACTAATTCTCTCATATAGATACATTTATTATTAATTCATAGGTTAGAATGCGAATTAATTATCATCTAAAAAACTCAATCGATATCCATATTATTCTACTTTTATCTTTTAAATTACAGTCCAAATTTAGTCCTTCTAAGAATATTCTATTACTAACATTAATGAATCAGCTGAACAAGATATCAATTTATCTTCCTTTTCATTTAAACTTAATTAATAAACATAATCTGTATGATCTTTAATGGTTTATTAGCATAGCCATCCATTTTATTTATTCCAAAAATTAATAGATGAATCATAACTCCCAGAAATAATAAGATTTTCATTATTATTCAATTATATGGTAGTAATATCATCAAAATGTCCTTTCAATTTGTGTTAGCAAATCCAATAATTATTATCATTCATTTACCATATAATAATTGACTTATCTCCACTTCCAGATACAAAATGATTTGATTTTTTCATAAAGTTTAATGTAGATACCCAATTTAAATGATCACTTAAAAGTTATAATTGATTTAATTTCCCTTATTTGAAATCAAATACTTTAATATACCTATCACATCCTGCTAAAAGAATTGAATTATCTTTATTGATTGCGATTGCAAAACACTTTTCTTCTTATTTAATAGAATTTTAATTCATCACTTCAAAAGTGAATGGTTTTAGATTTGGTTTTATGAGATTTAGATTTATTCGTTATTCACAAATCTATTCTTTAATGACAAAAGATTTGGAAACTTGTTTATTATATGTTGAACTCAAATTTGTTTATAATTGTTGGTTTTCCAAAATTTCTTTAATAATCTATTTAATTTATTAGATAGATTATTGGAATTAGTTCAGTAAAGTTTTCTCCCATAACTCAACTAAACTTAAACCTTTTATTATATTGTCAATCTAAGATAGTCCTAATTTAGGTAACTATACCATATTAATATTGTATAAATTAACGAATTTATTAAGAAGACTATCAATTTCTAACTTACAAGCCTAAGCTATTTATTCAACATTCTAAACAATAAGGACTCTTTTACTAATCCATTCATCTAAAAGTTCTAATGATGTTAACTTGTTCAAGTGTTGACCATGGATAGGCAGGCAAGAATTACAATAAGGTCTTTAATATTGGCATTTACTATCAATACAAACTCCAATTATTTGTTAATTTAAATGATCAGCTTAAGTACATCTCATTAACATTTTTCTTTTCTATTAAAAATAATATTTAATAAAAAAAAATCATTTGTTATTTATAGCCTCAATAAATATTATTTCAAACCAAATTATTTTAATATTTCAACTTAATGATGACTCACACTAACATACTTAAAGTAGTGATATAATAGAAATCTTTTGGGCTATTTATAACGAAGGGTCTAAATTCGATTTAAAATCCATCAGATCTAATTCTAAAAGCAAAAATCTCTCCTCAATAGTATAATTTAATTGTTTTTTTTTCAAAATAATCATTATTAATTTCTAACACCAAAAGACTAAACATCTCCTTTGAATATTGGGCATTGATCATTCTTAAAACAAATACTAAGATGATGATATTTTTATTTTCAAATTGCCTTGATCTCTTAAAATCGATCAATCCAATATAACTATTTGATACTTAGCAGAAACATCACAGGAAATAGTTAAATATATCAGCAGTGCTAGCGAGTGTCTTAATATATTCAAAATTAAAAGAAAAACTAAGAGAGATCAAATTTCTCTAGTGCTTGTAAAGAAAAAGTTGGAAGCAATTGTAATTTTAACAAAAAATTTAGCCTAAATTTATAATCTTTTCTTATTTTCTATTAAAATGACCAAGGAGGATTAAAATAATAATAAATTAATTAGGCTCATAAAATGGTTTATAAAATTCACTTTCATTTAATTCAATCAGGATTTTGAAATAAATAATGGATTAATGTATATATATATATATATATTATTTTTA